TACTCAAACAAACAGACCTGGTAAATGAGACAAAGGGGAAACTTATATACTGGCTGATCAGCCCACAAAGACACAAAATAGAGGAAAACACACAAACACCTGGGACTAACATAAAGAAATCCCATTCCTCCATGATCCTAAGTTGAGGTATGAACCAATCTGCAGGTCTCCGTATAGGCCCTGCAGCCATCACAGCACGTCATAAGTACCAATAATGGAGCAAAATAAGCATTAGCAAGCAGTATAGCATTGGTATAAGAATTAGTAGTAGTAGTAGCTAAAACCAGGCAAAATTATCATAAGCATACATATTATTAGCATACAAATGCTAAATAGCAAGCAAAAGGTAGGTTTTAAAAGAGTTGACCAAAGTTGAACATTAATTTTCAATGAGACCAAAAAATGCCTGAAAAAGCTGAACATTTCAAAAAGTATAAATTTCACGAATGCTAGAGGTTATAGCTGGGTGTCATTGAGATGACTGGTTTGATGAATTGTTGAAATAGCACAAACATAGTGGAAAGAGTTGGATGCAGAAAAACATGCAATACTTGAACCAAGGTTGCAATAGTAAATGCTTATTAATTATTCACAGAGTAAAAGGTAGATTTATCCCTGTGGAAGGTCATCAAAGAATCACTGGGTTGAACCTGAGCCTCTGCATCATGATGATGGGACGGTGGGATAGACATAGAACCCACACACAAACACACACACTCTGCTGCAGATATGCTCAGCATTGCCTAAGTAAGAATAGGCTGTGGTTTTATAATCCTCAGGCTGCAGGTCTGAGCCGTGGTTGTCAGGAAGGATATTCAGCGTAAAACAATTGCCATATTTTTCATGCAGGTTCATTCACTGTGGTGTCCGCTGCAGAAAGAAGTAGACAAATAAATAAATGAAACTATGTAAGAAAACAAATGTATAAAATAAGTTTAATATATAAAATAGAGGGGAGCACGATGGTGCAGTTGGTAGAGTTGCTGCCTCTCAGCGAGCAAGTCGCCCCAGTTCCAATCTCGACGGGGGGCCTTCCTGGGTAGAGTTTACATGTTCTCTCGGTGCTGCGTGGGTTTTTCAGTGATCCCCGTGACCCAAAAAGGAAGAAGCGAGTAAAGATAATGGATATAAAAGAGAAAGTCCTGTACAAATGTATGTGAAAGTGATACATTGTAAAGCACTTTACAGAACCAGCATGAAATTAAAAAGGTGCTACATTTTAGATGTGTGTACTGGCCAAGGTGGAGGAGTAGCTTCTATTTTTCAGTCTGGATTATTGATTAATGCCAAACCAGTTATTAGTTATGAATCTTTTGAATCGCTGTCCCTCAGTTTTTCTCATCCAAAATGGAAATCAGAAAAGCCACTTTTACTAGTTGTTATATATCGTCCACCAGGCGTTGACTCTCAGTTTTTGTCTGAATTCTCAGAATTATTAACTGACTTACTATTAAATACTGATAAAATCATCATAATGGGTGATTTCAATATTCATGTAGATGTTGAAAGTGATAGCTTAAGCATAGCCTTTAATAATTTAATAGACTCATTTGGTTTTACCCAAAACGTCCGCACATCTACTCATTCTTATCATCACACTCTTGATTTAGTTCTGACCTATGGTATAGAGATTAAGGACTTGGTAATAGTTCCTCAAAATCCTATTCTGTCCGACCATTTTTTAATAACCTTTGGGTTTACATTAAATGACTACACAGTCACTGAGAGTAAATTTCATCTCAGCAGGTGCTTATCAGAAAATGCTGTAACCAAATTTAAACAATCTCTTCCATCATTGTTTTCCTCTGTCTTGCAGAGTAATACATCAGAGAACAGTGACTTAGATCATCTAGTTGATCATCTTACAACTTCAATGCAAACTTCACTTGATACAATTGCTCCACTGAAAAAGAAAGTAATCAATCAGAGGAAACTGGCTCCTTGGTTCAATTCTGAGTTACGTACTTTAAAGCAGGCATCTAGAAACCAGGAGAGAAAATGGTGCTCTACTAATGTTGAAGAATTTTATTTAACTTGGAAAGATAGTCTGCTAACATATAAGAAAGCTCTCCATAAAGCTAGAACTTTATATTACTCATCTTTAATAGAGGAGAATAAAAATAACCCTAGGTTTCTGTTTAGTACTATTGCTAGACTAATTAAAAGTCCCATTTCTGTTGAACCATGTATCCCTACAACTATAAGTAGTGATGATATTATACTTCCATTAGGTAATGTTATTAAACAGCATGGGATACATTTTCATTGTTATGCTGATGACCCACAATTATATTTGTCCATTAAACCCAATGAATCCAATCAGCTACTTAGACTACAAGCATGTCTTAAAGACATAAAAACCTGGATGACCCTTAATTTTCTCCTTTTGAACACTGACAAGACTGAGGTTTTGGTTTTTGGACCTGAGCACCTTAGGAATTAATTGTTCAGTCTTTCACCCTCCTTAGATGGTATTAATCTGTCCTCCAGCTCTAATGTTAAAAATCTTGGTGTTATTTTTGATCAGGACATGAAAAACATTGTCATCTCTTATGTTGCTAGAGTATCAGAAAAATTCAGAAGGATTTTCAACAAACACAACATCCCAGTACATTTAAAACCCAGCAGGACTCTCAGACAGAGACTGGCCCACCCTAAGGAAAAAACACCCATACACATACAGAGTGGTGTAGTGTATGCGGTCCAGTGCAGCGATGACTGTCCAGACCTCTACACTGGAGAAACTAAACAGCCTTTTCACAGATGCATGGCTCAACACAGGAGAGCTACTTCCTCAGGACAAGATTCAGCTGTTCGCCTACACCTCACAGATAAGGGACACTCTGTTGAGGACCAAAATGTGCACATTTTGGACCGAGAACACAGATGGTTTGAGAGGGGAGTGAAGGAAGCAATTTATGTAAAAAGAGAAAAGCCGTCTCTTAACAGAGGAGGATGCCTCAGATTTCCACTTTCAAAAACCTATAATGCAACTTTAAGACTGATTCCCAGCCAGTTTTCACACTTGATGGGAACAGAGGGGCCTCGTCTGTGAATTAGAGTAACAAAGACCTTAAGAAACTCCTACTGTTAAGGTGTTTAGGTTTGAATTGCCAATCTACATATGTGTGTGTGTGTGTCTTATCTCACTCAGCCTTATAACCTGAATCTCTCACTCACTACTGTTTGAATTGAGAAAGCCCCTCGGATGAGGAGCAAAACGTCTTCTGTTACAAATAAAGTGTAGTTGTTTTTGTATTGAATGCCTTTTGAATTCACCACCAGGTAGTGATCAGTGGACAGCTCCGCCCCTCTCTTCACCTGAGTGTCCACAGATGTGTGGCCGCAGATCAGATGAAACGACAACAAAGTTGATCATCGAACTGCGGCCTAGGGTGTCCTGGTGCCAAGAGCACATATGGACACCCTTATGCTTGAACATGGTGTTTGTTATGGACAGTCCATGACGAGCACAGAAGTCCAATAACAGAACACCACTCGGGTTCAGATCAGGGGGGCGGTTCCTCCCAACCACACCCCTCCAGGTTTCACTGTCATTGCCCACGTGAGCATTGAAGTCCCCCAGCAGAACAAGGGAGTCCCCAGGAGGTGCACTTTCCAGTACCCACTCCAAGGACTCCAAAAAGGGTGGATAATCTGAACTGCCATTTGATGCATAAGCACAAACGACAGTCAGAACCCATCCCCCCACACGTAGGCGGAGGGAGGCTACCCTCTCATTCACCGGGGTGAACCCCATCACACAGGCACCAAGATGGGGGGCAATAAGTTTGCCCACTCCTGCTCGGCACCTCTCACCAGGGGCAACTCCAGAGTGGAAGAGTGTCCAGCCCCTCTCAAGGAAACTGGTTCCAGAGCCATGTGTAGAGGTGAGTTTGACTGTGTCCTCATTTACCCATTCATACAGCACTCTACTAGATCTCTACAAAGCTAATTGAACAAATCATTCTAAAGAGACTAATCAGAGCTTTAGATCAACTTCATACACTGATGGGACACAAATCAGAGGCTATGAGGGGTTCATTGGTTTGCCCAGGGACACTTCAGCATGTGACTTCGCTGGTGGGTTCGAACCCCCAACTCTCGCATTGGAGGACGACTGCTCTAATCACTCAGCCACAGCCGCCTCAACATCCCAATAGCCAGCTTCTGTAGTCCAGGATCAGACCGCCAGGGTCCACGCCTTCGGCCACCACCCATCCCACATTGTACCCGACCCCTTTGGCCCCTCCCACAGGTGGTGAGCCCATGGGAAGGGGGACCCACGTCTCCTCTTCAGGCTGTGCCCAGCCAAACTCCATGGGTAAAAGCCCGGCCACCAGGCACTCGCCAGCATGCCCCACCTCCAGGCCTGGATCCAGAGTGGGGCCCCGGTGACCCACGTCCGGGCGAAGGAACATCGAGTCCATTTATTTTTCTCATCATAGGGGTGTTTGGGCTGCACTTTGTGTGGTCCCTCACCTAGGACCTGTCTGCCTTGGGTGACCCTACTGGGGCGTGAAGCCCCTGACAGCATAGCTCCTAGGATCATTGGGACACTCAAACCCCTCCACCACGGTAAGGTGGCAGCCCAGGGAGGGGCTGCCACCTTACCTTAATTGCCTAACAGACATAAATTGTGTCTGTAAGGCAATTAATCTCATCAAATACATAAATGCGAGAAAAATGGTTCTAAAGTGTGATAATGTCAAAGTAACAATGTATCTCAGATGTCTGAACTGAAGTTATTTTTACAGAAACAGCTGCTGATCTGCAGATATCTTGTTTCTTACTGATCTGACTGCTCACTGTGCAACTTGGCTGGGTGTGTATGCATGCTGAGCGAGCACTTGACATCCAATCAAACAGGTTTGTGGTAAGCATTTAACAACCAGGTGTGAACATTCAATCAGACCTGACTACTTGCAATCAAATGGATATCAGTATCAGGTATGAAAAGGGTCCGAGTCCCTGTAGAGGGATCAAAGAGCTGCATGTAGCCCCAAAGTTGCAGGATTGTGTGGTGTTTAGGTTCTATTTCGTATAGGCTTCACCCTTTAAGAGCTGTCGATTAGTGGGTTTATCCCATCATGCGAAGCATTGCACTGAAAAATTTAGTCCACGCCCACCTGCTGTGTGGGCCCCACCCGGTCCTTATAAATTACATTAAGAGCAGGTAATTGGCTCCCATTTTTCTTCAGCAAGCTAATAGCACTGTCAGAAGAACAAAGACGGGAAGTTGTCTAGCTTGACCAACATTTGTTAAGACAGCCTGTGGCTCCGCCACGTCAACCTCCTGCCGTCCCAGTGAGTTCTTCTCCCCGAGGAGAAGCGAACGAGCAGGCTTGTTTCAAGGTAAGCGCCGGGGAGTATTTCTCAGTGGCAGGTCGCTACACGCTGGACGACGCCATCTTATAATTTTCCTTTTATCGCGGACTCTCGGAGCGAATCGGATGGTTCCTCTGGGACAGGTGATGTCAGCAGCAGCCCCCGCTGCTCACTCCCTCCTGGAGAGCATAGTGTCGGAACGAGGGGGGCTGAGCAGATGCTCACCCCCCCAGGCCTTTTTCGCATCGGCGGCCACACCGCTCCCAGCCATCGGTGCCCTCCTCTCGGAGCTGCCCGGCATAATCCAGGAGGCGGCTGACATGAAGGGACCTTTTTCATCCCTCTCCTTCCCCCGTCCAGATCGGATGATCTAGCGGGAAGGTTTCTGGGCTCCATTCCGGCTCGCCGTCCTGATCCCATCTGGCATCGTTTCCCAGCAGTGACGTCCTACTGGGACGAGGCAGCAGCCGGTCCTGGTAGAATAGGGCGCTGGTTCCCACATTTGTGCCCATCACCAGAGTGGAGGTGTTTCACCGAGCGGAAATTCCCTCGTGCCCCCCTGGAGCCAAGCCTGGCTGAGGCTTTTGGAGCAAGATGTCCAGGTTGGACCACCGTCCTGCGCCTCCGGGTAAGCATGACAGACGGTGATGTCGCTCTCCAACCGAGCTCACCAGTGTGCGTTCCAGGCGGCCGCAGCGAACAATACATTAC